TGAGAGTGGCTGGTGGTTGTGTAGGAGGATCAGTTGGTGGCCGAATATCTGGGTAATGAACAAACAAAATGACTAAATGAATTTATAAYAAAATGAATGAATATCAGTAAATTTTGTGCCCTATGTCGACTACAATTATTTTTCATTTCACGATATCTATTAGGCAGAAAGTCAATCAAGSTATTAATAATCCACTTAACCAACCATATTAGCCAAACCAGCCGGCCAACCAACTAACCATCCTAACAACTAACCAATCTGTATCCACTAAAGCAACCAACGATTCAAGCAGCTATCCAACTAAGCAMCCAACTATCCAACTAAGCATCCAASTAGTCTATCAATCAATCAATCAATCACTGAAAAAGTCAATCAATCAATTGTTCTATCATTAATCATTCAGTGAGCAATCAATGCAATCAGTCAATCAAACATTCCATAAATCAATCAATCACCAATCATTCGGCTACTACGGGGGTGCTTTCAATTTAGGCAGAACTGGCCGGCCAGTCCACTCTATTTAGAGGTATATAATGCTTTTGTCAACACTTTTCAGTCATTTCGAGGTTTTCTGTAGAATATAATGGGTAGAATTTGAAAATTTGAATTTCCTAACTAAATAGGAATGATATATAATGACATTTTCTCTGGTTCTGGCCAGCCAGTTCTGACAAATGGAAAGCGCACTACGTATCTATATAATTGATAATCCATAATTGTTTTAATAATTAAACTATACGTCAATACTTCAACCAATAACTTGATATATTAATTGAAAAAGATTATGAAATCACTATAGGTGAATCAAAATAATTTGATGAGAAAAACTTCCATCCATTAATTTAGTAATCCCATACCTATCACAATCCAAATAGAACTCCTCCTTCTATCTCCGTTTGCATCGAATCTGTAAGCTAGACAATCAACCATGGTAGAGCAATTCATAAGAAACCTGTCGAGACTTTCACACTGAAAGGTTGACTTGACGTCCAAGACGCTTGTAAAGTTAATCTGCAATTTGCTGGACCTTAGACCTTCCTTGTCAGCATAAACACTGCCATCTGACTTGTCGGTGACATCAAGCCCTCCAATAAGCCATTTGATATTCGCCTGTTTGTCCCCACTTGCGGAGCATTTGGCGGTGATGAATGAACCAGGTGTTGCAGTCAATTTGCCTTCCAGATTGAAGCTTTGAATCGTAACTGGTGGGCCTGAATTAATGGAATAACCTTTGTTAGTCCTTTGCGAAAAAACACTTGATTGTGTTGTTTGTATAGTTTACAACATGAGCGGCCGTTTGAGATTGTAATTCCTATACAACACGGACGCGAATGCTGTAAACGACTTATAAAACTCCAACACTAATTAACATGAATTGCAGTGACATAAATGACGAAAAATGACAAAGTTACTATTAAGCATGCGCAATTTACTGCAACACAGAACATTTTGAATAATTATCCATCCCACATGGAAAAGCAAGCCATCTGTTTCATAAGAGAGTTATCTGTCTTTGATTGCTTCAAAACCTAGTGAAGGTCTGTGATGCGATACTAAAACTGAGACCTTTGCTAGTGTGACCGTGTTGTAAATCTGATACAACACTTGTTTTCTATCAGATTTACAAGGTCAATCACCTGATTAAATGGACAGCCCCTATTGGAGTAATCGCTCATGCATTATTAAGTTTTATAAGAGATTTTATATTGTATTTTACAGCTTTTTTGTGCTCAGGGTTGCCATTGATAACAGATACACATATGTAACTGATGATGGGACCATGCTGAGTTTTATAATAAATAAAGATTTAGTCATTCATTCATTTGTTAAAGGCATTTTGGAATTTAAAAAATCGGTAAAATTTAATATAATATGCAGCAATTTCAAAAAAATGTTGAATACTGAACATACTGTGATGCTCCATAATGCTCTTCAAGACCGAAATGCATTGTTGTTGTTAAGAGTTCCACGTTAACTAGATTTATAAAATGATGATTCTAAAACTCATTGTTTTGCAGTTAACCTTTTATTGTACGGGTATGGTGCAGTCATTCTGAAACAACAAAAAACCCTTTGAATCTCGATAGAGGGGCCTACATTGCAATTTGGTCTTGAATCACAAGGGAGTGTCAAAGACTGAATACTAAACTTCCCTCCCTTACGGACATGATGCAGTGCAAAAGGCCTTTAAAAGCAAACATATGCAATATTTTTCTTCACGGTTCCCAGCGCCATCTTGAAAGGTAGCCTTGCCTTTGCATCGAAGCGCGACGACCGTTGAGTGCGCAATGATAAAAACCCTCTTTCACACTTACAGACAACAGGCCATTTGCATTATGGCGTAACTTTACTACAACTACCAGAGAGCCTTGCGCATTTTCATTGTTATTAAGATTTTTAATCCCCTTGGAGATTAATAAAACAATTGGCACTATTTTCATTACAATAGAGAGTTGGCAAAGCATTCTGGTAGTTGTAGTAAATGACACCAAAATGCAAATCGGCTATTATTTACAGATATCTATCATTGCAGGCACAACGGTTGTCTCGCTTCGATGCGAAGGCACGGCTATCTTTCAAGATGGCGCAGTGAAGGAGACTAAAGAAGACATTCATATGTTACCTCTAACGTTATTAACATAGAGCTCGGTCCTTATGCAAGGCTTGTTGTGCCACTTGGTTGGTTGTATGCGAACRTATCGAGCATTAGCGGGACGCGGAAGCCAGTAACTCTTTATTTCTTTCTTGGCGGTCAATTCTGTTTTGATCTTAAACAAAAATATCAATATTGTTGTTAAATTAAGAGAAGATAAATTGTTCACTCTCAGTTATTATCTGCGGGAACCGAAGAAGCAAACACCTAATTATTAGTTCTAAAGTAAATAATAGAAATGATTATACACAGTTAGTCAAATTATTTTTGTTCCTTTGGAATCCTTTTTTGTCGTTTTATTCTTTGGTCTTAATTCAAATTATTTAGAAGGCCGCGYTTTAAATAGCTTTTTCTTATAAGAAAATGAGGTGACTTCAAATATCCATTYGCAATCCGTTTCCATCCGTCGGTTGTAAGTAAATTTTACTATATCTCTATTCACAGAGCGTAAAGGGATAATAAARAGTATGTTTTTGCTTATATTAAAACGCATTTTTATTTTCAAACATAAACAAAAGCTCGAAAGTGATGCTGGTGGACCATGGCCAATTGATTAGGTGAAWGAATGACACGAAAGAGCTCTGTACCTTAGTTCTTGTGAGCTTGCTATGATCATATCCATATTGCAATTCAAACTCCAATACACGCTTGTTGTTATCTCTTGCGTCCGCGTGAAACGCCAACCCTCTGAACTCTTGGACTTTTTTCATATCAATTTGAAGGTACGAGCCTTTGGTTTTTGCACACCAGGAACTAGGGCTATACAATCGCGCTTTAGGTGGAGTGGTATGTTTGTCCARGAAACTTGAAGCTGTTATTTGCTGGTCGAAGACATTGGATTTGCCTGCAATTGTCTCCAGTCCCAAAGAACCTCTCCATTCTATAATAATAATTATAAAATAATWATAATAATGATTGTGATAATGTTATGACATTTTTTCTTTTRTTTCCAGTTTCAATTCTCCTCTTGGAGATTCAAAAGTCAAAAGACCGGAGGCTATGTTGGCGATATGAACAATAGATATTATAGAGAAATCCTTTGTCAATGAACATCTAATAACATTGTCGCAGTAACGTCAACAACTTGTCAAAGGACATGCCATTTCATTACACATCATTAAAGTATGCTCCGGTTTTCTTTCGTCCTCTTTCCCCTCCTAACGAAAATTCACAAACAATTAACAATGCATAACATGCGCAATGCCCTACCTTGTCTAAGGCCATAAAGCTCAGTTCGGACGCACTTATGGCCGTCAAAGTTAAGCGGGTAGATTCTATAAAACCTCGCAACAAGCAGGTTTTTATCAGTGAATATGTTTTTCTTGATGTAAACATCACCAGGGTAGTCTTGTTCACGCTTAAGGTTGCCTTCGAAACTCTAGTCAGAATAAATGGTAAGTGAATTGGCCGATAACAAAACGAAAAAGGGACTGGGTCTGAACATCAAAATGTAATTAAATAAGGGTTCCAAGTGGAATAACCCCACCATGCGAGAGAGCACCATACAAAAGGCGTACTTACTAAGTCTAATGCTGTTTGAACTTATAGCAATAACAGTATACTGATATTCAAACCATACCAAAATGACAAAGAACGCCAACCGTCTATCCAAAAATACATTCCTGTAATTTTCGAAATATCTGAGAAATTATGTTGTTACTTACAACGACCCCCTCTCCACTAGGTAAAACTATATGCCAGTCGACGCCATCCAAGGAAAATTCWATATAATAATCCCTTGTTTTTTCGTCAATCCGGAAGTCTTGTCCAGTTCCTTGTATGCCAATACCGCACACTATGTGAGGGGCTCCAAGGTCAATCTTAAAGATTAAAGATATTGTACTCGTATTTAGCCTAATACAATGCAGAGGTAGTCTGCTACGATGTCCTATAATATTCTCCTTCGCGGTTCCCTGCGCCATCTTGAAAGGTAGCCGTGCCTTTACATCAAAGCGAGACAAACTTTGAGCGTGCAATGATAGAAACCTGTGAATAATTGTCTGTAGGTGTGAAAGAAGGTTTCTATCATTGCAGGCTCAACGGTTGTCTCGCTTCGATGTAAAGGCACGGCTATTGGTATAATTTTCTCAAATATCTTTTGATCTTGAACAAAAAGTGAGTCATTTTCAAGAGTCTTTCATTCCCGCCTTTTTATGAAAAACGTCAACTTTCATGCGTTGCCCGCGATATACGTGCGGTCAGCGCCAACAAATGTCCCTGCTGTTGCCCCAGGTAGCTTGTCCAGAGGTCTTGGGGTCAGTTTGGGGTGGCAAAATAAAGAAAGTTTATTGAGTTATTTGCAGCGAAGCCACCCTCTAGAACTATTGGAAATTCACCCCTGGAATGTCTTTGCATGATGGTTTGAAATATCGCTATAGTCCTTTTTATTTTTGTGTATATTTATAAGTTTCACTTTCTGTGGAAAAATGGCATAACTGCATGCATTTCTGGCGACCATAGAAAAATAGATAGAAGTAGAAAGTTATGTCATAGCTTACAAAAATTTTCCGAACATCATAAAACCTTATAACATTATAATATACGTACATAGATGATAAAATTGTGTTTAGGATGATTTCTTTTAAACTTTGACTGAAAGACATGTTTTTATTCTTACAAGATAATTGTTATTGATTTGTTCTGGTAGGAGCTAGATAGTGTGGCTTGTGACAATCTATAGCCTTGAAACATACATTGTTTTGTTGTAACTTAATTATGCGATAGGGCAGTTGCTAATATAAAATGTTTTGTTCAGTCAGTTATAGTAGATAACATCATACCTCTAAATAGTCATGAGGATTCGTATTTTCCAGAGRTTCCCAGCAATGAGTACCCATTGTACGCCCAGCATGTGGTTTRTACTTTTCAGAGGCCTTGTATGTTGAACTGGCAGAGAATCGATGATCTGGAATAGTTGGAAATGGTAGACCTATCCCGGATGGTTTGCTGTTACAAGC